TCTTACCGTGTTAAACTTGAAAGTCCGAACATCTCTTACAAGAAGGAGCAGATCTACCATGGCAATTCGTACTAAAGTAACAGAGCATCAAATGCCCCAGTCTTGGCAGAACCACTTTAAGAATACCATGGGACTGTGGATTTGCAAGAAGATAAGTTATACCATTAACTGTTGAAAGTCTAACCTCACTGCACAATTCATGTGACATACAATCGAAAAGTTTTGTGATGATTTAGGTAATTGTTGGTCATGGGAGCACTTCCCAGAAGAGATAGAAAACTCGACAAAATCCTTCCACAGCAACAGACCTCACATCTGGGCATTCATCATTCAATTTTTCCAACAAATAAAAATGTTTGTCAAGCAACGTATCTTTTTATTCTTTTGTTGCATCCAGATCCTCCATCGGGAAAAGATCCAGAAGTAAATGTAATGCATTTAAACGAACATTTGAATTCGCAACCTGAATGATTCTAAGATGATAACACCGTATTTGTACCCATTTTCACCATTCATTTCAAATGCTTTTTCAAAGGTTTTAATCAGTTTTAGGAACTTTTATTATGATTTCTCTATGTTTGTAGTTTCAAGGCTCTTTTCAGGAAACTTAGGAAAAAAGATGGCAAAATGGAAGAAATCCACATTTTTAGCTCAGAGTCAGACCGTTAGAAGTTCAGCCACAAATGAAGACTTTCTCACCGACTGATCCAGCTCAAATTTAAAGAAATTAAAGAGGAGACAACAAGCTTTCCATAGCACTTTACATAAGGATGATAACACCGGATTTTGACTATTTTTATGGATCACTTTAATGTCTTTTACAGGTGTTTCTACTCCATTTTCAAAGGTTTTCAAAGGATTTTAATGTTTTCAGATTTTAAAAGACTTTTCTGGTAATTTGGGATAAAGAGGCACAAATTGGAACAAAAAGACTCTTTTGGATAAATGCAGACCATCATAACTCTCATGGAGACAAAGACCTTCTCACCGTCCGATCACCCTCAAAATTGAACAACTTATAGAAGAATCAACCAGCTTTCAAATGCACTTGGTTTGGAGACATTCCAACGGTTGGATCTTAAGATATTCCATTAGCCCCGGAGACACTCGAAGACAACCAGCAATTCACGTGACCGAGGCCACCAGCCTATTTTCCGCGGTCACAAGTTACCCGACTGCGGCCAACCACCTATTTCCCACAGTCACGTTACTCCCGACAACTCCAAATTAAAGCCCATATTTCTGAAGCCCAAAGTCATTTCTCAGCCTCAATTCGAGAACCCTAGAGACCATGGAGTATTGAAGCCTAAAACCAATGATGATGTCAACCTCAGCCATGTCTGAGTAGATCCCGAGTTGGGCTTAGGATTCCCGAAAGGGGCTCTCATAATCGATTAAGACATCTAGGTTTATAGATCTAGGATTTTAACTTTGTTCTCTGTTTATTCTCGTTCTTATTGCATGTATGCTTGATTGATCACCTAGTATCTGATCTAGATAGTTAGTGTTGCGAAAGTTTGCATTAAGTTTCAGACCTAGAATGAAACAAGCGATTTTTCTGTAGGAGTGGAAACCTACCTGCGGCGAGATCATGAGTACTGACGAGTCTTGTGCAGCTCTTGCGTTCTCTCCCTTCCAGGGCCAGAGTGGAAACCTACTGGTCAGGGTTGCGAGAAATATTTGGTTATGATAATGACAGTGACGTAGACATACCGCCGTACTCTAGGTCTAGAACCTTATATTTCGATATCCGTCAATCCCAATCTATAATCCCTAGTGTTAAAACCGAGTATGATCCCTGTAGAGTTCTCAAAAGCTCAGCGTTTTTAGCCATAGTTTACAAACCAATCGATTTTTACTTGCTTATTTAGATCTGCATTTCATTTACTTTAGTTCGATATTTTCCTTGTTTCATTTGCTTTCATTCGATTTTTCTACTTGCTCTTTAGGATAGATTTAATTGCTTTCTTTCGTTTTAGTTTAATCAGTGAAAAACAACCAACCCCTAAAACCAATCTAGTCTAGACATAAAGTTAGAAACCGTAGAAGAAAACAAGGCACACAAATCTCTGTGGATTCAATCCCTAAATACTATAACTGATTAGCTGTGCACTTGCGGCTTTCATTTGTTTTTGTTAGGGTAAAACTTTCTCCCTCACGCAGTTGACACGCATCAAGTTTTTGTCGCCGTTGCCGGGGATTTGTTGCGCTGCCTTTGCTATTTTTCTTGTTCTAATTTCTGTTCTAGACACCTGATCTCTAGTTATTTCTTAAAGTTTGCTGAATTATTGTGTGAGCCAAAACTCGCACAACCAAAAATTTGTTAAGGAAAACTTAAGGGATCTGAAATTTCTAGGGTTTATCGCAAGAACAGTAAGATCGAAAGAAGGTTTTTGCTGAAAAGCGTTCTAGTCTTATTGCTCTCGAGTTGTGTAAGTTCCTGGAATCGATTCCATACATTATATATTTATACTAATTTTCTAAACCGCCTAGCCGAGAATCTCGGGAGAGATTTTCAGAATATTTCCTTATCACTTCGTGCGGCCACCATCACAATGTCTCGCCTAGGGTTTTTATGGGCTTACGTCCTTCAAGACTTCAGTTCGGCCCACCTGGGAAGAATCCGCTCGGCCCAATTGCGAAAGGTAGCGACTCGGTTCATTCTTCTTCTTGCACAGCTCGGCCCATCTCCACTTGTGTATGGCTCGGCCCATTTTCTCTCGTGCGCAGCTCGGTCCATCTGAGTGTCTTCTTCACGGCTTGGTTCGCTCATCGCCTCCTCACGGCTCGGCCCACCTGCAACGTTGGGTACAGCTCGGCCCACTCCTCCTATGTGGGGGTTCGGCCCTTGCCAAATCGGCTCTCCTGATGGTAAATTTATTCTTGAAATTGTTTAAACCGGTTGGGATGAAACCGAACCCAACAGTTAGCTCCCCAGCTCGTCAGTTTCCGAGGTGAGAGTGACGAGATTTATCATTCCTAGTCGTGGAATTAACCATCGAGTTGAACCTGTCGTGGGATGATTACAGGCGAGACGTATCTGGAACAAGATTGCCGAGCCGTTATGGAGGCGAGGTGACTGACATGCGGGACAATGCCGAGCTGTTTTGGTGGAGGTTATGCCGAGGCGTTCTGGCGTAGGTAACGCCGAGCCATGTTCCAAGGCGTCGGCGAGGAGTTTATGTTAATAATGCCGAGCCGTGTTTCAAGGTAACGACGAGGCGTTTATGTTAATAATGTCGTGCCATGTTTCAAGGTAACGACGAGGTGTTTTTCTAAGGAAGTTGCCGAGCCGTTTCGTGTTAACGATAACGACGAGGCGTTTTTCTAAGAAAGTTGCCGAGCCGTTTCGCGTTAACGATAACGCCAAGGCGTTTATGTTAATAATGCCGAGCCGTGTTTCTAGGTAACGATGAGGCGTTTTTCTAAGAAAGTTGCCGAGCCGTGTTTCAAGGTAACGACGAGGCGTTTTCCTAAGAAAGTTGCCGAGCCGTTTCGTGTTAACGATAACGACGAGGCGTTTTTCTAAGAAAGTTGCCGAGCTGTTTTGCGTTAACGATAACGACGAGGCATTCTTATGAAATTTTCAAGCCGTATCGACAAAGCATGGTTTGGTTCACAGCTTGATGAGATATTCTCAGATAACCATAGCTGTGTTGTGGCTCGGTTTACCTGGACAGCTAAGGAGGAAGCGTTTCCCTTTGATCTGGTCGAGGCGAGGCTTGAATTAGAACATCTCATGGCATCCCGAGGTGCTTCTTCGTATGGGCAAGGGAAAAAAAACGAGTGAAAAGACAAAAACCTGAGCCGCCCGGCTCCAGGCTGATAGAAAAGACTTTTAAGGGTCTCAGGGCTATCAAACCCCTTGTCAATGTAGCACAAAGAGGTTATCAATCCAAGAATGTGGTGATAGACACTAAGCTATGTGATCAGTTTCTCAATTCAAGCAAGCAAGAGTGGTTTTGGTTTATTATGACAACTACAAACTTAAAACAGGATTAATGACTAAAGAAGAACTAAACAATGACAAGTGATATGAATATGATATGATGGAGGCATGAGATTCTAGACATGATAGTTGGCTAGGGTGCTTTGGTGCTAAACTAGGAATGCTAATGACAATGATGAGACATGATTCAAATGATTAAGAACTCTAATCAAGATTAATCCTCTCATGAAGGCATTAACCCATACACTAATCCATTTTCAAACCAAATCATCATTTGTGAAATATGAATCAGTGAGCATTAATAAACAGTTCTAGAAGATCATTCAAGCAAATAACAATACATCATCATGCAGCAAATGCTTTAACCTCTAATACAGCTCTTTCAGGAATTTCATCACACTTTTGGTGCATGAAATTCCCAGAATCTAGATCTCAAGTGATGTGCAAGGATCTAGCCTAGAGAACAGCTGTTTAAAGAGATGAATCAATGAATCTAGCCCTAAGCACTCCTAAGCTAACACTTTAGCACCCTAACCTACACATCTAGAACCTCATTAAGGTGACTACTCACTAATCATACTAATCTCTCTTAAACCTTTGCAAGTTGAGAAGATTAGCATGATTAATGATGAGAAATGGAGATGGAGATGATAGATTAAGAAGAAAACAGCTTTAAACACAAAGATCTCTCAAACTCTCTTGATTAAACACTCAAAAATCGATATTTCTCTTCTTAAGTGGAGTCTTTTCACAAAAGAGGCAAGAGACAAAAGGGAATAAAGCTTAAGTTTTGGGAAATAACCCTAAAAACTATTTATACGTCTCTAAAAACGAACCGGGTCAGCCCGGAACCAACCGGGTCCTGACCCGGCTTTCGTGGATAAAGTGATGAATGTGCGAGTTGGTCAAGAGTCTCCTAGGTCGCATGCCCAAGTCGCACAGGTGAAGAAACTGTCTTGTGAGACTTAAATCCCTTAGTCTTAGCCGCACACCCATCTAGATGTGTTTTGCGAGTCTTTGTGCGGCTCAATCCTCCTCTTCTTCAACTCGCATGACTAAGGCAAAATCTGGGGAAGGTGTGTGTGTGACTTGGTCATCCTTTAGTCCCCAGCCGCATGCCCAAGTCACACAACCAGAGGAAGAAGCTTGGACGAGGTAAAACTTTTGTAAACTCAGCCGCATTACCTTCTCGGAGTGATTTGTGAATCCGTCTGCGGCTTAGTCTTCTATGCTCCTTAACCCGCATGTAGCAGGGGCCTTCAGGGATGTGTGCGGCTTGGTCTCCATTACTCCCAGGTCGCAGGCTCAAGTCGGTGTAGATTGCGAGTCTTCGTGCGGTTTAGTTCCAAGCACGGCCAACTCGCATGCCTAAGTCGCACGGTTGTGGACTTAGCATTTTTCTTGCTCGGAAGCCTCAGATCTTATCCAGTGATAGCTTACCTGCACTTCGCAACTCACAGCTCAACCTCCAGGCATTTATCTTTATGCGTTGCGAGTTAACCAAGTCGCAAGACCATCTCGCAGCATTCAGGGCTCCTCGGACCTTTTCACATTCATAGGAGGGTAACTTCCAGGATGCTAGTCCGAATGGTGTGATTCCAGTTTCAGTGGATAGAAGACTGAGACATATTCAACTTTGGTGAAGGAACCTTCGATGCTTGGGAAGTGGAAGGTTTCCTGGAGGGTTCATCTTCGCAGTGCATTGACACGATCAGAAAGAGGCTTCTAGACATGCGTCCATTCCGGAAACGTTATCTTCTTGATCATAGCTCCGAATTGAATGATCTCAGACGTTCTGGAAAGAGGACTCAAATATCTCGGATTCTGATGAAGGCCCTGTAAACTGATTCGGTCTGGAAGTGCACCGTCCTTCGCATTCTTCGGAGCTCATTGGGTCGGTCCAAAACGGCAGCGAGACAGGAGTTCCTTCCGACGAGCTTAACTCTCTGCTCACGCCTCCAAATTCTATGATTCCACCTGCTCTAGAACCATGATCCAATCTTCTCCAACTTTGATGAAGCACCCGACGGCTGAATCGGACCGGAAGGTTCCGGGAATGTGTCTGCACCCGGGAATTTGGGCCGAGAAACTTAACCAGCCGGTACGCGTTTTGGCCGAGGAATCCACCCGCGGTACATGCAAATTGCCGAGAAAAACCTTCCTGCGGTACTTGAGAATGGCCGAGAACCTCCAAAAACCCATTTTCACCATCTTTCAAGCCCTGATCACCATTTCTCTTCCTGGATTCACCTTTTCAACTCCAAATAGCTCCAAATACACCTGATAAACACTCAAAACATGCAAAGACTCATTGGGACCTAATGCAACTCCTAAGTCCTAAAACAAACCCTAAGGACCTAAAATGCATGAAAAAAGATATGATTTGGAATGAAACAAGATATGCATACCCTAAGGACCTAAAATGCATGAAACAAAATGATGCAAATTATGAACATATCAACTCCCCCACACTTGTCATTTGCTTGTCCCCAAGCAAAAACAGCAAATGAGATAAAGAGGTTGGATGCATTGGGAGTTCATATTCCTTAATGAGAGAGTGTATCACTAAAAGAATTCAAGGCTCACTGTTCTAGTTGCTAATTCTAAGATGCATTGCAAACAAGATTACTCACAAAACTTTAGCCATACTTATCAATGAATGAATCAAGCTCAAGCTTAAGTTTTTCACAAACAGCCATAGTTCCAACCTTTTGACATTCATTAAAGCTCATGTGAATCATGCTTATGCAAATCATGTGAACTCACTTGTCTTGGGACAGGGTTATGAGACAAAGATGATCTCATTTAATGTTTTGGCTTCCATTCAGCTCAAGGGATCAGTCAAGAAGGAATAAACTTTAACAGAATGCTAAGGGTAAAAGGAAACTGGTGCATACAAGAGCAGAATCCCATCTACCCAATGCCCCAAATTGGTCTTTCACCTTAACTCTACTCCCATAAAGATCACATCCTAGCTACTCCTCTCTCAAGACATTCATTGCCTTATCAACCCTCTCCTCACTTCACTCTCATTCTTCTTCTCACCAGGGGATTCATCTTTTCAACATTAAACTCAGGTTTTGGGGTCTGAATATTCCACTTAGCTCTTTCTCATATAACACTTTCTAGCCTCTTTTCTTTTCTTTTCAAACACTTGAGCCTTTTAGGCTTCTTTTCTTTTCTTTTAATTAGAGGCTAGACTTTCCTTTTCAAAACACAAGAGCTTTTCTTTCTTTACACAGCAGACCCCAAACCTCTTTCTTTTCTTTTCCAACCCCTGGTTTTCATCTCAAACTTCCTCTTTTCCACTCAGTGTTTCTCAAGAACTCTTCCTAGCCTACTCTAGACTCATGATGTTGAGCTAGATCTACATGAGACTCTACTCTTGTCGCCCTAAACCCAACACTTTCTGTAAAGTTTATTTAGAAAAAGACCTCACATCTCTCACTATAGTGTTTCAGGCTTCAAGGAAGGGTTGGTTAAAGGCAGGGAACTTTCTCAAAGTGATAGAACAGCTATTTGAGCTAGCAAAGAGTGGTAAAAGGGATAAGAGAGCTCAAATAATTTAAGGGTACCCATGAGTTCACAATGACATGCACAAGCAATGATAATTAGATTGTCAAATTCAGGTTCTCAATTAGATAACGCTGGACTAATCAAAGCTTGATTCACTCAACAAGTTCAAAGCATGGATAAGTCTTGATTTCATTCTTGTTTACATGCAGCAAAGAACTAGAAACTAGGGCAGTGAACCGAATTCTTAAACTGATATTCTCTCAAAGAAAAACCTATCATTACTCCCTTGCATTGATGCAGCCTATATGACTATGCAACTAGACTCAATCCTAAAAATGAGAATGCAACTACATGATCATTTTTTTTGTGAAAATTTTTCAGATTTTTCAATTTTTTTGGGTTTTATATGCACTTAGATGAAACTACATGAATGCATGCAAGAATGTGACTCAAGACTCAAAGTATAAAATAACAACAGAGAAAACATGATTAGTAAAAGATGAAACTCCTCCCCCACACTTAAATAACACAGCCCCTTGTGTTAAAAAAGCATGAGAAAGGAGTTAAAGCAAAGCAAACAAGTAAAATACAAAAGAGAAAAGAAAGTCTACATGCATATGTACAAGGTGTGGAGTGTTACCTAAGAGCTGTCGAAGTCTGACCCCAATGAGTAAGAGGGGTTTGAAGTGTGACCGGATGGTGTCTCCCAGGAGTGATGGCTTGCCTCATCAGAACCGTCATCAAGATCCACCCATGCTGTGCCATATGTGACCAGGGCCGTGCAGTTCATGGAACTCTCTCCAACTTCCTCTCTGTTCCTTGGTGAAACCGGTGTTGGAGATCCACCTTTGCAAGGGTTTTCAAGCTTCTTGATCCTCTTCTTCATCTCCTTGATGCACTTTGCCATCTTGTGGATGGTTTTGTCTTGGTACTTGCACCATTGTTGGAGAACACCAATCTTTTGTTGAGCTCTGAACCCTGATGTGCCTGGCTCCTCCCAGTTGTAATCATCAAAATGATATCTGTTTCCACCAAAAGTTTTTTGAGGTGGGGGCAGACCAGCATCTTGAGCACCAGCAGCACTTGTAGTAGCATCTTCAGCGGTTGCTTTCTATTCCTTGGAGGCTTCTTCTCTGCAAGCTTTCTTGTACTTGAGGATTGGTGGATCAGTTTAGACATTGTACAGCTCTTCCTTCAGCAAGAAGAAGTGAATGTTCCTCTTTACTTAGACTGTGGTGATGGAGGGATTGGGCAGGAGAGTTTGGGCTGGCTCATTAATGAGAGACTTGAAGTTGTAAACTACCTTGGCACCAACTCTTCCTTGAAGGAAACTGATCTTACACAAATGGGCTTCATTAATCAGATCAAACCTTGCCTTGTTGTCCTTGAATTTGTACCCCTTGGCCTTCAAGATATTTGTTACAACCCATCCATGATCGGTCAGCTTTGCATCCTGCTTTGTTGAACCCCAAATGCACTTTTTTTAGAACATCAAAGACCTTGCTAGTTGATAGGCAAGGCAAGGTGTGAAAGCATACCCTTCATAGGGCTCCCCATCTTCATGAGTTGGCACCAGCTGTTTCAGTCCCACACCAAGGAGCATCAGATCACTCTTCCAACATCAATCTTGAAGTAGAAGCTGTGAGAGAGAATCTTGTGTACATATCTTAGCACTGGATTCCTTATCCAAGAGGACTTAGCTGCTCCAGCTGTGTACTTCCCAGAAGCATTTGATCTCCATAGAGCCTGAACATCTTCTTTTCTGAGATTGACCTCGTTGGAGAGAGGAACGTTTCTAGGTGCAGAAACCCAAATATCTCATTCAGTTCTCTGAATGACACTGTATAGTCCTTTCCTTTCACAGTAAACTCCATGTGTCCAAGTCCATCCCCTTGAAGAATTCTTGAATCCCTTGGGTAGTATATAAAAGCTTCAAAAGAAGCCAAGAACTCTTGAGACTCCTCTTCATATGCGATCTCTCTCATCTCCAAAAGTGACTCAATGCCCATGTTCCCAAGCAAAGCTTTGACATCTTCATAGATGCCAATCTTCTTCAGAAAGTCCACATCAGGGAACCTCCCTTGCTGGACCTCCATCTGTTGAAACTTAGCCAGATAATCAGGTGTTTCTGGTTCAGTTTTCTTGATCCTCTTTGAACCCTCTTCAATGGTGCCTTGGGAACTACCAGCTGAGCTGCTTGAGCCACTCTCAGTCTGTTCATCATCAGATACCACAGCCAACTGTTTCCCTTTCTTCTTGGAACCAGAAGCAACCACCAATGCTTTCCCTTCATGCCTTGTTCTTTTTGGCGCTTGATCACATTTTCCTTGCTTTGTGATTTTCTTTGCTCCTTGACCTTTTTCTCTTGGCTGTGAAGACCCTGAGACCAAACCCTTGCCCTTGGATGCAATGCCCTTCTTCTTGGCTAGAGAGTTGGTTCTTTCAGTCATCTGCCAAGAAATTCTCAAAAACAATGTTAGCACAAGATCAAGTTTCACAAAGTTGTTCAAAATTTTGAAACAATTTGTTGCAAGAATCGATTTCAAAAGCACATGAACAAGTTTCTCAAGCCAAGCATCAGTCCAATAAGTTCATAGCAATGCAAAAACAAGAGTGCAAAGCAAGGACTCAGCAAGAAA